CTGCTAGTGCTTTGGCCTTTGGCCTACCAGGGAGTTTCTTTTACCCTCTTATATGTATGGGTGTGCATTGGGGACAATGCACAATTTTAAGTGTGGGGTGAGGAGATTGTCTGGGTGATTTTTCATGCTACTTTAGTTGTGTTTGTTTTTTTAAAAGATTGGACTTTTCCTGATGACGGATCTTCTAGACAGTTTTCTTGAGGGAAGTAAGTCTAAAGAAAATACCAAAAAGATTTTTTGTTTTGTTAGGTAGTGTAGCAATTACCCCTTGGTTTTTCTTTAAACCACGGTTCTTTTCCAAGGGTTTTATTTGAACCGGGTGTAGTTAGTTTTTTTTTAGAATAGGAGCCATTGTGTTTTGTTTTGAAATGAAGCAATATCTCTTGACTTTGTTATGCCTTGAGAATAGTGAGTACTTTGGCTGTGACGCTTAGGCTCAGTTTTTGACTCTTGTATAAGTACCTTAAATTGTATGATTTTAAATTTGCTTAACTGCTCTGACTAGGGTGTCTTGATATATCCAATCCTGAGTGAGTTATGTGCCATGTGTGTGTAAGGTTTTGTGATATTCTGTGCATTGCATTTGATGCCTAGAACTTGCCCCGTGTGTTTGCAAAGCGAAATAGTAGTGTTGTTCAGTCTTGGAAGTGATATAGGCGTTTTCTTGATTGAGCCAGATATGTATATTTTACCCACCTAATTGTTATGTATCGTAGTTAACCTCGTTGAGCCTATAATCCTTTTTCTTTGGCAACCACATTACAAGCCTTACCTATTTGTTCAAATTAACCATCTATTTAAACCTTTTCACCTCTCATGAGCACTTGAATTATTTATGAACTATGTAAAAGTTAAAGTATGGGGTAGTTGGTTTGGCTTTTGAGTGGAACTAATGAAATAAGGAGAAAGGTGCACTGTTTTGAAAAAGTAAGAGCTACTTGAATTGAAAAAAAAATAGTTGGATTCTTGTGAAAAAAAAATTCCTTGATAAGTGGTGGCTCTTGATGTAAGTGTGCTTAAAGAAGAATGGGGTAATATACATTGATGTGAAGGTGGTGTTTTGGTTTGACATAAGTATGGGGTTTGAATGTTAAAGTATATGTATTAAAGTGCTTAGGGAGGTGTAGTCACTCTTATATCTAAATGAATCCTACCCGTCCCGTAGCCTACATTACAACCAAATAAAGTCCTAATTGATCCAAGATTGAATGAGCTCGATTAGTGGAGTAGTACACTACGGGCAAGCTTATGGTGCATCTTTTGGGGCATATGAATGTTATTTCTGAGAGTGAGTGAATTCTTTCTATCTTGAGTTCCTAAGTGTTCTTAATTTTATTGTGTGGAACTACTCTCTTTTGTTGTGTGAGGGCACTTGATTCATGAACGAAAGGTAATGTTAGTCACCTCTATATTAGAGTAAGTGGGTGAGCTGTGAATAACGTGTGGTACTTGTGAGTCAAATCTTGAGGTGAACATGTTACGCTTTTGTGCTTAGTCTATTTTAAATACTTTTGGTGTGATGAGTTAGGAGAATTGTTTAAAAAGGTCGTGTCTATAAAAAAAGTGTAGTTTGATTTCTCGAGGACGAGCAATGGTTTAAGTGTGGGGTGTTGATGATAGGATATAATTGCATATTTTAGTCGCTTATTACACTCGAATTTACTGCACTTTAATTGAGTTTGCGCTTTAATCGCTAGTGTTTTGCACTAATTGTGTGTTTTATGCCTTGTAGGTGTGATTCCGAGCTATATAGATGTTATGAAATGAATTTAAGTGATTTGAAGCTTTGAAGTCTGAGTAAAAGCTCAAGGAATTAAGCCGGGATCGTGTTCGGAGGTCAAATTTGATAATTAAGTACGAACGAAGACTTGAGGAGGCATATTGCGCACTGTCTAGTAAAATAGACATAACTTTTTTCTCAGAACTCCATTTGGGCTCCACAATATATGGTTGGAAAACTAACTCAAAGGGCTACAACTTTTATGTTTTACATTTTTTCAAATTCCAAACGGAACAGGGTGAAAAACCGCGGTTTTGCCGCGACCGCGGCAGAACCGCGGTAGAAGATGGTCGCGGACAACTGAAGAATCAGAGGGCATGTTTGGCCGCGGTTCCACCGCGACCGCGGCAAAACCGCGGCAGGAAGCGAAAATTTCAGGGACTAAAGTGCAAAATATGGGATTTTAAGTCCTAAACCCTATATTAAACAAAGGAGGCCGGCCAAGAACAGGAGGAGGACATATTTTGGACACAAATTAGACCTAAGGAGGCGGAGAGACACTACTTTAGGGTTAGACAACACCCTTGGAGGCAAGAACACATTGGGAGCAAGGCGGAGAATTCTTCTACGAGTTTTTCCTTCCTCTTCCTATTTTTCATTGTTAGTTATGACTTTTAGTATTGTAGTTTTACATACTATTATGAATAGCTAATTTGTTATCTAGAGTTTTGATAGAACCTTTTGTAGGATAAATTCTTGTTATGTTTTTATATAATTGAGCCATAGCTTTTCTCTATTTGTTCAACTACGTTTATATTGTGGTTGGTTGAAGAGCTCTCAATTAGCTGTGCCTATTTAGTATGCATAACTCGGGAGAGAGTGCATATTTAGGTAATTGTTGAACAACACCACTCCCAGAGTATATGAGGGATCAATAACCGAGGGTTTAAAGGTGGGATTAGGGATAACGAATCCTTGGGTGCGATCTGAAGTGAGCTGTATTAAAAGCCAGCTAGCGTAAATCGGGAGAGCGCGTCTAGTAAATTATCGTAATTACTCGGGAGAGATTTACGGCAATAAGAGTGCTCATGATCGGTAGAGAATACTTAGGCGAAATTATAGAAGACATAGCGGGAAGGATTCCGACAATAGGGGAAATCATAACTCTAGACCTCCTTAATCTTCTCTCTAACCCTCAGTATCGTTAGTTGTTAATTTACTATTTTAATTTGTTAGTTAAGTAGTTAAACACAAGAATCTTAATATCTATAAGTTAGGAATTGTTCAAACTTGTCTTCTTGGTGATAGTGAACAGCTGTAGCTAAACCTTAGTTCTCTGTGGAATTCGACTCCGGACTTGTAAACCGGATTATATTTGCAGCGACCGCATTGTCCTTTTTATAAGGCATAGTTGGGCGTGATCATGGGTGTTATTTAGAATTGTTAGAAATAGTATAAGGAGGTTATATATAAAATTTGAAGTCATTTAATGGAGATTTGGGCTAGTTTTGATCAAGAATTGCAACTGAAAATCGTGAAAGAAGTTCGTCTACAGACGCTTGTATAGAGGTGTATAGAAGTGTATAATTATGTATAAGATGTGTTTATACACCCATAAACACTATTATACAAGATTATACATAATTATACAAAAAACTGACTGCGTCTTCTTCCTGGCGTCTTTTCTGAAATTTAACTCAAATCTTGTTCAAATCTACTCAAAATCACTTCAAATTGAAATTTCGAACTCATTTTGATATTTTCAATCAATTGAACAATACCAATCCAAACAACTAACAAACTCAAAAAATCCTATTTTCGAAAGCAAAGCTTTGAGTAGCCTTCAATGGTGGACTTCTACTCTTCAATTTTCTTACATTGCAACCGAGTGATACAGTGAGAAGCAGAAAATACACGNGATACAGGGGGGGGGGGGGGGGGGGGAGGAAGCAGTAATGGCGGATGGCCCCTTGAAGCATATGTAGAAGATGTGAGAAGAAAAGATAGTGAAAGCAATAGTTTTGACAACACAAATTTAACTCCATAAATTTTGAATTTGCTAGTACTTTCAAAATATGTACTGCTTTCAAAATATGTATAATATAAGCTAGAATGGATAAAACTTAAAACCATGAGCCATTTTTTATTATAGTGTGATGTCAAATATATTTTCTTGTAATTCTTTCTATTAAGAAACTCTTCCTCACTTGTGCTTACAATCAGATCAGACTTGCCATTCTCATTCTATTCAACGTCCCGAATCCAAATCTCACTAAGAGACATCACAATTAACCCCGTCATGATCAAATTTAATCGAAAGTGTGGACGTAGAAAGATTTCTTTTTTTTTTTTCTTTTTCTGTAGACCAATGTTGATGGTAATGGCAGAGGCAGATGTAATATGGTTTTTCTTGGTTTGGTTGAACCAGTAATATTTCTGATATAAACGTGTCTGAAAAATTATTAAATTTTAAACTCAGAATTATACATATACAATGAGTTTTGTTAGGACTGGAAAAATCAGGTGTCATGCGGAAGCTAACAAAGCAAACCTTGAACGACGATAAATCATACCACAAAGAGAAATATACCAAAAGAGACACAAACATTTAATGTGGTTCGGTCAACTGACCTACATCCACGGCGGAGATGAGCAATCCACTATATAAAAAGAGAGTACAAAATATCGAGAGAACAACCTCACGAAGAGGCAAACACAAGTGACACACTAACACTTGCTCCGTAAAGTTCTCCCCCTAAACAAGACTCTCAAGCCCCCTATGGCTACATTATGGATGCTACTTAATGAGAAGGAAGGATCATCAATTTATAGAAGTCCAAACCTTTTCCTGCAAGAAAAGGGACTAGCCAAATATGAAAGAATTATATTTTCCTTCTAGGAAAAGAAAAACTCAATTATGGTAAATATATTATCCTTTCCTTCATGAAATAGAAAAACCAATTATGATAAAAAAATCTGCACAAATACCTAACAAGTTTTACGGTGATGACCTCATCAAATTTAAGTTCAAAATTCACTTAGATAATGGATGTCGGACTGCAGGGGACGGTAATGAGTTATTGAGTTCAATAATAAATTCAGAATCCATAAAGTTTAAACTTTAGTTTTGGACCGTCGGTCACGAACCGGCCACCGAATGTAGTAAGAACTACCTACAACAACAGAGGCTAACGTGTCCTAATATTGAATAGTGAATACCCACCATGTATTTGGGACCCTTTGAACCAGCAGCAGCAACTTCTGGATTTTGCGCCAGCATTTATGTTTTCTATCTACTACATTTTCTTTTACTTTTGTCCCCCACCCTATAGTCTATCCTCATCCACTACTTTTTATATCCCTCTTTCTCCTTCACGTAACTCTTGATATATAGCCTTGTACTTTCATCTTTCTTTGTCCATCTTCTACTTCTTCTATGGCTAACTTCAGCTTCATCCTCGGCATAATTGGTAAGTTTCATTATTAAATCTTTAAAAGTACACAAGGTGGAACTTGAACAATTAATGCGATTTTTAGTTTATTAATTAATATGAAGAAAACGATTATTGTTTTTGCCAGAGAAATATTGTGGTAATGATTTTTACACCCATGTTTCTGCAGGGAATGTCATCTCCATACTTATGTTTGCTGCTCCAATGTAAGTCTTGGGTTTTAATTTTCTCGTAGTACTAATTTCGTTGGTAGTAGCTCTATCCTATGACTAGTTAAATTAGCCTGATCATTACATAAAAGAAATTACAATTATCATTTGTACATAATAATCCTACGTTTTTGTAGTAGTAATTTGTTTTCCCCCCTACTTTTTGGAATTAAGTAATATGGTACCCCGTAATATTATAATCAACGCATGTTAAAGTTGAAACTTGTGACGATTATAATTAAAAGACATTTGGTTAATGTATTTTTCATTGTTTATTCACAAGGATCATTAAATTTAAATTATTATTATTATTTCAGAAAAACGTTCAAAAGGATAATCAAGAAGAAATCAACAGAGGATTTTAAAGGGATACCATATATTACAACACTATTGAGCACAAGTTTGTGGACATTTTATGGCTTATTAAAGCCTGGAGGTTTGCTTGTAGTCACAGTCAATGGTACTGGTGCCATATTACACATCGTATATGTCACTCTCTTTCTTATCTATGCCCCCAAAACTCTTAAGGTAATATACTACTATTAAGTTTTCAATGTTATCTCGTCTTTAATTATCACTTTCTAACGTCAAAAACTAGTTGATTTTTATTTGAAGAAAATAAAAAGTTGATTAATTTGATGTCTTTGTTTTTTCAGATTCAATCGATTAAGCTGGTGGCAATAATAGATATAGCTTTCCTTGGGGCTGTAATAGCAATCACTTTACTAGCTGTGCATGGAAATACTCGGCTCACAGTGGTCGGACTTTTAGCTGCTGGTTTGAACATAGTCATGTATGCATCTCCTTTATCAGCTACGGTAATTTCTTATCCCTTTTTTCTTTTTTCTTTGTTTCGTTGCATTTAACTTATTATCAATATTTTAATGTATTTTAACCTGTTATAGCATATAACATCTCTTCCTTTCTTTAATTTCTTCCTATTTGTTTTTTTTAATGCAATTTAAAATTGTAGTTTTTGTTAATTCAACTGTACTGCTTGGCGTACAGAGAACTGTGATAAAAATGAAGAGTGTGGAGTACATGCCATTTTTCCTTTCCTTCTTCCAGTTCCTTAACGGAGGGGTATGGGCTGCTTATGCAGTCCTTGTCAAAGATTATTATATTGGAGTAAGTTCTCTTCTTCTTCTTCTTTTCGATTTTCCTTTCTTTGAATTCTCACTTATTTTGATCTAGGTCTGGAAAATATTTGGTGTATCATGAGCTATACTAGATGTGAATGAATAAATTTCAATACAATACACACCAAGTAATAGCAAAAAAAATGTATAGTTTTTTGTATATATTTACATTATTTATGTTATATACATAAATTATATAAATTTTATATACTTTTTCGGCTAGTAAATGTAAATAGTTTCTGGCAGAGGCTAAAAGTGAGTTGGTTCATTATTATTTCTTTCTCATCAATGTAATATTTATTGAAATATTATCAAATGTTTGTGTTTTTTATTGATTATGAGAAAATTCGAGTGTTTTCTTCAATGTTCGATTTTAGGTGCCAAATGGGATAGGATTCTTATTGGGCTCGGCCCAACTGATCCTGTACTTCATGTACTACAAGTCAACCCCAGCAAAATCCACAGATGAAAAGGAAGAAAAAGAAGGCTCGGCCCATTTAGTGAGAAGAGGAATCCAAATGAATGATCTTGATGGAGCCCATGAGAATGACAAAAATAATCGAAATCTTCACAAAGGGAAAAGCCTCCCAAAGCCATCTTTAGCTCGTCAGTATAGCGAGAATCTAGTGAAGACTCTCTCTATTAGCTCATCTTCTTTGGGCTCACACAATGAAGATGATATTGAGAAAGGCCTAAAAGATGCCCACTAAATTTCAGAATTTTAGAATATAGGCCCAAATTTTATTTTTGTATTGTTGGGCCTTACGTATAAGAAACACTATAATTATACGGAAATTTTACCTCCTATAGCAAAGGTATACACCCTATTTTTATAAATCAAAATTATTTTAAGATATTATTTTCTATAACTACCTTTTATATTATATATACTACCATTGAGGCATGAAATAAGCTATTTATGTTTTTCCTCTCTCTTAGACAGCTGGACATACCTATTTTTAAGGTGATTGTCATTACTGTATTTATGAATACATGGCGCGAGTACATGTGAATACATGCGCATACAGCTGAATTGTCCTGATTTTAGGCGCTTTTTACTGATGTATTAATGAATACAGCAGCGCGAATATATGTGAATACATGTGCGTACAGCTGGACTGCCCTGATTTTACGCGCTTTTTGCTGCTGTATTCATGAATACATGCCGCGAATACATGCCGCGACATGTGCGTACAACTGGACTACTCTGATTGTTAGGCGCTTTTGCTGCTGTATTCATGAATACAGTAGCGCGAATGCAACGAATACATTACCGTAACAATCGAATAGTAGCTATAGCAAGTAATTATGTATATGATAGTTATAGGAAGTTAATAACCACTAAACAATAGTGGTTTTTGAAAATTCCCTTATTATATTTGTTAAAGCTCTAAATCTAAGCTTCCGTCTTTTTTCCCTTGGTAGTTGGTGTCTTCAAAGAAAGAATATAACAATAAAGATTGATGTCTTGTCGTCTGATGAAAATTTTCTATGGGGGATCAAATAGTGCATTTTCATATGTGTACTTGGAATTTTCCTCTAATTTTATTTTTTCAAGAACAAGTAGCACAGATTTATATTTTGTCACATATTTTGTACTGCGATAAGATAATATGTGAATAATTTGGAATTTGTGTCCAAATATTACTAAAAATGATACTACTATTTTTCTTGTGGGAAAACTTGGTAATCAAAAATTTGCTACCAGGTTTGTGTTTTATTGACTGAGAATTCCTCTCACAGCAAAACCAAGAACCAACAAAAGATTTAGTTAACTACTAGCAGATATTTTCTCCTATATTGAATCAACTTTGTATTTTGTTTTACTGTTTTGTTTTGTTGCATATCTTCAAATTCAAATCTAGAGAGATTATAGGACTTGTGTAACTGAATCCTTGTACGTACGAAATATTTAAAGGACTTTTCCTCTCGGCAGTAAAGTTAACCGAGAGTCTGCGCATTGAACTTTCTTTCATCTTTCACATCTTTACTTCTTTATATGGTATCAGATACATCGATCCGACATGGCCGCTTCCGCAAATTTAGCCAATAGTCTCACTCTTTCACATGGGATCATCTTTTGATAAACTACATATCATTTACCAAATCTCTCTCCAAAGTTTGATCGCAATAACTTTCAGATTTGGAAGAATAATGTTATGAATACTCTCCAAATTTTTCGTCTTTATTCTTTTGTTCTATCCTACAACCCGCCACCTGCTACTATAACAACTCAAATGCTCCAACTGAACAACCTGTTACTGTTCCAAATCTGAAATATGAAGATTGGCACCAACGTAATCTCTACGTCCTTCTCTGGCTCAAACAAACAATTTCAACCCCCCTGCTTCCTCATGTAATCACTGCCAAATCCTCTTATGAAGCATGGAACACAATTGAACGCCTTTTCCAAACCAACAAGCTAATATGCTTCTCCATCTATAATTGTTGATCCAGCATGGTACTTCGACTCCGGTGCCTCTCACTATGTCACTCCAAATCTAGCTAACATATCCATTAACTCGGAGAATAATGGAGATGATCAACTTGTGATCGGCAATGGTATGTCTCTAAATATTTTACATATTGGCTCTAAAGTTCTGTCTGCTAGTCCTAAAAGTGTCAAACTTTCTAATATTCTTGTAAATCCCAAGCTGACAAAAAGCCTCTTAAGTATTTCCAAACTCACTCGTGATAATAATGTCTTTATTACGTTTCATGCTAGTGTGTGCTTTGTCAAGAATTTGCAGGGCAAAACAGTACTTCGGGAATCATTGACAATGACTTGTATCGCCTCACTTCACCACCTACACCAACCTCCACAAAATCACCACCTATGGCCTTTCTTAGTGAACGTACCACCCTTGTTGGATGGCATCGAAGATTGGCTCATCCTAACGAAGCCACACTGCGTAGTCTTGTCTCTACATATAATCTTCCTGTTTCATATTTTAGTTTTCCTAATGTTTGTGTGACGTGTCAAATGGGTAAGAGTCATCGTATTCCATTAGTTCATCGTCATGAATCTTATTTGTGTCTTTTTGATCTTGTGTATTTAGATGTTTCAGGCCCGACTCCTATCAATTCTATTAATGGAACTCATTATTTTATTTTATTTTGGATCATTGCAACAAGTTTATTTGGATTTATTTTATCCATCAAAAATCAGACGTGCTTACTATTTTTAAACAATTTCATACTATGGTTGAAACCCAATTCAATGCCAAAATAAAATGTCTACAAACTGATTGGGGAGGTGAATTTCGTAATCTTTCCCCTCATCTTCAAACTCTAGGCATTCAACATTGAGTTTCATGTCCGCACATACAAGAACAGAATGGTGCTCTAGAGCGACGCAATCGCATTATTGTCGAAAAAGGATTATCTCTTCTTGTCCATGCTTCTCTTCCATTTTTCTTTTGGGAACCAACATTTCATACGGCAGTCTACCTTTCTAACCGTACCATCACCCCTATCCTAAACCACTCGTCACCTTACCGATGTTAATATGGTCGTCCACCAGATTATGGCTTTCTAAAAACCTTTGGTTGTCTTTGCTTTCCTTTTCTTCGTCCTTACAATAAACACAAGTTTGGATTTCGTTCTCAGCCATGTATCTTTATAGGTTATAGCTCAAAACACAAGGGTTATATGTGTCTTCATGTGCCATCTAACCGGGTTTACATCGCTCGCCATGTTGCCTTCGATGAGGAATGTTTTCCTTATCAAGACCACCTAAAAGAATCCTCCTCCATATTATGCTCCTCATCATCTACATCCCAGCCACATTACTCCAACAAGCTGCCTCACTGCCTCCACCTCTGCAAGTTGCAACTCAATTGTCAACGACTACTCGAGATGTTGTTTAGCCTTCGACAAGCACACAGGTAATCGCCTGTTCTCAATCTTTTCTGCCTTCTGAATCACCTTCTGCCCTTGCCTTCCAGCGACTACTCTTCACCTTCCCCATCTCCAGTTAACTCTCGGTGTCCTTCTCCCACTTACCACTCTACTGGTCCTGCATATTTTCGACCACCAGATAACCCTCACCATCAAATGCCCGCTCTTAAACCAACTCTTTAGCCCCTAAAGCTCTTACCACATCCAAACACTCCCTTCCAATTGATCCTTTAACTATTGATGAACCCAAAAGTTTTAACCAGGCTTCCAAACTTCCTCAAAGGCAACAAGCTATGCAAACAGAATTTTCTGCTCTTATGCGAAATAATACATGGCAACTTGTTCCACTACCTCCTAACTCTAATATTGTTGGTTGTAAGTGGGTTTATGGATCAAATATAAAGTTGATGGCTCCATTGAGCGCTATAAAGCTCATTTAGTGGTAAAGAGGTTTCATCAAGAAGAAGGCATTAACTATTTTGATACCTTCAGCCCTGTCATCAAACCAAATACCATCGGCTAGTTTTCTCTATTGCTCTCACTAAAGGTTGGCCCTTGCATCAACTTGATATTAATAATGCATTCTTAAATGGTGAGCTTAATAAGCAGGTATTTATGGAGCAGTCAAAGGGATTTGTTAATCCCCAATACCCCAACCATGTGTGCCTACTCAAAAAGGCTCTTTATGGCCTAAAATAGGCTCCTCGAGCATGGTTTACCAAGCTCAAAACTTTTCTCCTATCTAATGGTTTTAAATCATGCTTATCAGATTGCTCTCTATTTGCTAGAAAATCACCCAATGATGTTACTTATATCCTAGTGTATGTAAACGATCTTATTGTTATGGAAGCAATCCTCGGTTCATTAATCAATTTACTAAAATACTTCACGTTGCCTTCTCTTTGAAAGACCTTGGCCACCTTCATTTTTTCCTTGGCATTGAAGTTACTAGAAATTAAGATACCATTTTTCTCACCCAACAAAAACACATCAGATATGTCCTTGTTCGTGCCAAGATGACTGATGCCAAACCGATCTCCACTCCATCTATCCCCGAGTCTCGTCTTGTCCATGACGGCGTTCCTCTCCCGAATCCTCACCTATATCGCTTCATTGTTAGGGATCTTCAATATGCCACCATACCCGTCCTGAAATTTGTTATGCTGTCAGTCAGGTGTGTCAGTTTATGCATAACACATCCACCACCCATTGGGATGCCGTTAAGGGTATTCTTCGATACATTAAAGGCACTCTTCACCATGGTCTTTACTTTCACTTATCCACAGACTCCAGCCTAGTTTCCTTCCCTGATACTAGTTGGATCTCTGACCCAGATGATAGTCGTTCTCAACATGATTTTGCTCTTTACTATGGTTGTAATTTAGTAAGCTGGTGCTCTAAGAAGCAAAAGGCTTTCGCTCGTTCTAGTACCGAAGATGAATATAGAGCTCTCGCATTTGGTACTACCGAAATTATTTGGGTGCAACAACTTTTACATGAGTTACATGCTCCTCTTATACAACCTCCGATTCTACTCTGTGATAACTTAAGTGCTATCTTTATCTCTGCCAATCCCGTCATTCATCAACGGTCGAAGCAGGTTAAGCTTGATTATCATTTCATACGGAAGAAAGTCGATAATAATTCACTTGTTGTTCGATTTGTTAGTTCTCAGAATCAAATAGCAGATATTTTTACAAGAGCTCTTGGAACAGCTCGATTTAATCTGCTAAAATCCAAGCTACTTGTTCGATCCTCACCATCCGCTTGCCGGGGGGTATTGATTGAGAATTCCTCCCACAACAAAACCAAGTACCAACAGAAGATTTAGTTTAACTGCTAGCAGATATTCTCTCCTATTTTGAATCAACTTTTTATTTTGAATTACTGTTATGATTTGTTGTATATCTTCAAATTCAAATCTAGAGAGATTACAGGACTTGTGTAACAGAATCC